TGATCGGTGCTGGGAGAAGTATCATCATCTCAAGCCAAGAGGGTTGAAGAAAAAGGAGGAGAAAAAGGCATACATGATAGCTCAAGGTCCGAAGGAAATCCCGGGGATGACAGAGCCCAACAACAGTCTCAACCTTATGGTGGGGATGATCGGTGCTGGGAGAAGTATCATCATCTCAAGCCAAGAGGGTTGAAGAAAAAGGAGGAGAAAAAGGCATACATGATAGCTCAAGGTCCGAAGGAAATCCCGGGGATGACAGAGCCCAACAACAGTCTCAACCTTATGGTGGGGAAGTAGACCACGAAAGAGGACGACGACCCGAGTGAGCAACTCTTTGTTCTTAAGTTGCAAGTGAAGACCAGTTTGGTTGATGCCATAGTTGATCCGGGTAGCGAGAAGAATTTGATATCCGAAGCCTTGGTTCAGAAGCCCTTCACTAAGGATGGTGTAAAGTTCATATTTCGTTCGGCATCTCTTCCGAAGGAGACAAGCTTGGGGACGGTGACGCGAGCGAAGAGACTAGTGAATGCAAGCAAGAAGTTTGTCTCGCTATGCATTAGACTTCCAGAAAAGCCATCGACAAAGGATTGCAACTTCGAGCGAACGGTGACTATGAGAGGCGGGCTCAGAAGTACACCTTCACTAAGGATGGTGTAAAGTTCATATTTCGTTCGGCATCTCTTTCGAAGGAGACAAGCTTGGGGACGGTGACGCGAGCGAAGAGACTAGTGAATGCAAGCAAGAAGTTTGTCTCGCTGTGCATTAGACTTCCAGAAAAGCCATCGACAAAGGATTGCAACTTCGAGCGAACGGTGACTATGACGAGACGCGGGACGAATGAGTTGTTTCCGATCGGACGTCAAGACCGGATTCCTAGCAAGGCCGGGTGGTGCAGAAAAGATGGAGGAGCTCGAGAGTTTCCTCAGCTGAAGTTCTAACTTGAACGGGACTTCAAGTTCTTAAAGAGGGGACACATGATACGGGTGTATCTTCTCTTCAGAACTTAGCGATCCTCATGGAAGCTTGAGGATAGATGATTCTCATACTAGCATGAGAATAGGGGGTGTCAAACAGTATAAGGGAACACAGGAGGAAGCGTGGAACAAGACGACGAGCAGAAGAATCGAAGTACCCAGTTTTCAGCCTGTGAGTCGACTCATGACTGTTATGAGTCGACTCATCAGGTTGAGTCGACTCATGACTGTCATGAGTCGACTCATCGCTGGTTATTGAGATTTCTCCAGTTTCTGTCGAGTCGACTCATCTCAGTCATGAGTCGACTCATCGAGGGTTTCCTGGTTCGTTTGGGATTCTGTTCACACGAATTCCTGTTGGTTTTGGGTCTGGTTATTTACCAAATTGCCATCCACGTTTGTACACCTATATAAGGGATTGTTTTAGGGTTTCTAAACAATCAGAGAGTTAAATCAAGAGAGATTAACTTGTAATTGAGATTTGGAGAGCTTGTTCTTCAATTCTAGAGTGAGATTGTGAGAGATCATAATCTAGAGAAGGTATTTTCCTTCGCCAAACTGAATTGTTCTTGTGTTTTGGTCGTCCTCTTCTCATCCCACCTTTTGGTAATTCTGCGACCAAAGGGTGCTCGCACGGCAACTCGTATCAAATCTAAGGAGACTCGCCTCGCTTTTTGCCTCGACAAAAAAAAGGGTGTCTGCTGACCTATCTCATTAATTAAAAGGATTA